CAAAGCTAGAAAGTGGGAGAGTTTGGCTCTTATCCCAGCTTCGACTCCCATCTACTATGACCTTGAGCCAAAGACTTGCCCTCCCTGGGTCACAGTGTCCCTGTGGGACGGATTAAGGAGTTGAATTAGATCATCTCTAAGGGTCTTTCCAGGCCTCGATATTCTGCTGCTTTGATTATCTAACAGGACTAATAGGACAACAGCCCCAGATATGAGAGCTGGTTAAGGACACACAGCCCAGGCACTGTTCCATCCTCCACGGCTTGTCCAACTGTGAGTGGGGACTGGCTAGGTTTAGTGCCCAAAGTCCCAGATTTTACTAAATCCTCCTCAGGTCTCTACGCCTGTGCCTCCTGAGGGTGATAATGTTACCGTCTCTCTCTTCCCAGGGCATAGACCCTGAACTGTAGCCTTTGCCCACAACCACGCCCACTGTGCCATCGTGGGAAGTCGAGAGGGATGGTAAACGCTTCCATTCTGTAGGGTTGTGGTTCCTCTTCACTAGCTGTGTGACCTTGGACAAGTCACATCAACTCCCTTTCCCAAAGGTGGGGTGGGATTCATTGAAATAGTGGATGTAAAGACCCTTTGGGTACCCAAAGCCCTGCAAAGTAGAGGCCTGGTCCAGACAGGAAATACTCAACAAATGTAGAATGAGAGGCTGCTGGAGAGCAAGAGGCATTTGACAGTCTTTGCACAGGGGTCTCTGGCTGCAGAGAACCAGGGCTGCAGCTTTGCTAAACCTCCCACAGCCTAACCAGAGGAAGCTAAGGCAGGATGCTGCCAACGCTGCCCAGGCCCAGGGGCACACTAGACAGGCTTCCTGCTGTGAACTTCTTGGGGTCATTGGCACGGAGGGATTGGTGCTAGAAGACCAGGAGGATGAATTAATCATGGCGTGATTCCAGGCAAAGGAGGACTGGCAACCATTGGGGTGGGGGTTTTGACCTGGCTGCTACCCTTACTTGATATCTGAGGAGATAATACCTCTACTCAACAAGGCAAAATCGTACTGAGCCTCCCGTGACTGGCAGGGATGGGGCTGGGGGCCAGAGCTCTACAGACACCTGGGGTGTCACTACCAGGTGGCAGTACCACGATCTGAACCTGAGGCTGCTGGGCTGGAGCCTGCGCCCTCTCCACTCTCCACCCCCACACCCCATCCCACCCCAACACCCCTGCCATATAGCAGGATTCCAGCACTGCCTCCCCCTTCCTGAGCAATTCATGGGGTTCCTGCCCCTCCCCTTCTCCACCTCAATTTCCCAGCCAGCACTTTAGGGGCCTCAGACCCCTCTGGCTCTGAATTTACTGGGCCTCTGAATCAAAACGAGACCCCACAGGACCACCAAAGAGTTAAGCCGAGGAAATCCAGAGCTCCCTTGATCTCGGCAGAACCCAGCGGCTGGAGGGGAGGGAGCGGGGAGGAGGGAAAGTGGGAAGCCAGCTCAGCTCTCTCCCTCCGCCCTCCCACCCTCTTGCCCGGCCTCCATCCCTTACTCCCTCCCTCCTCGGCTGGGCCTGGGGGTCTGGGCCAGCAGTAACTTATTATTGCAGACATGGGCCAAGGATCCAGAGGCTGCCCCGAGGCCCGGGGTCCGTGAGCCGCTGTGCAAGGCTGCAGGACACAGGGTGAGTGATGGGAGGTCCTGCAATTCCCACGGCGGGCAGGCAGGGTGGAGGAGGCTGGGGTCAGAGCCTGGAATTCCTCTCCTCCTTCCTCTCTTCCTGGACACACCTCTGGCCCTGCATTATCCCTCTGACCCTGGCTAGGCCCTCTGGGCTCTCCCCTCCGCATTCCTTCCTGTGACTGAGACCTTAGCCTCTGGTGAAGGGCTGCTCTCAGATGCTCCTGGCTTGTGCCCGCTGCTGCTGGGACACACACCAACTCAGCTCAGCAGTGCTTGGCCCCTCCCCCCACCCCACCCCAAAGAGGTCCCAGCTCCCAAGTAGAGACATCAAGGATCCCAAAATGGCATGGTCCTTACACTGAATCCCTGTCTGGCACTCTCCTCCATGGCTAGTCTGCCTGTCCGTGATCCTGGCTGTGTCCTAATTGTTACTTTTGTTAGAGGCTGCTTCGCTTCCTGCTTCCTGCAACCCCCCCACCCCCACCCCCCCATCACGGTTCATGTCTCAGAGCTTTTGATTCCCGTGTGACTAACAGAAAAGTCCCCAAGCTGAGCCAGTCCTCTGGGAGCAGCTCTGCTCTTCCTAGCTCCCTCACCACCCTGGGCAGGCACTGGCCGTGTTGGCTGGAGGATGGAACAAATTTTTTATTTAGAGTCTTTTACAAGTCAAGCACCTTCCCTGCATTTAAATCTTTCCAAACAACCAGGGAGAGTGGTATTGTCATTTCCTCGTCAGTGTCAAGGAGCAGGAAGCCCAGAGAGGTTAAGCCACTAGCCCTAGGTCACACAGCTTGTAAAGTATTCTGGGATCTCAGGTCTGTCTCTAAGGCGTCACCTTTTCCCATGAGGTCATATTCTGACCAGGAAAAAGATGATTTTTGCTTTTCTCAACACCACTGGGATGTGTAATTTACAAATAAAAAGCGCGGGTGTTAATCTTGGACTGAGGGGATGTTGACATATGAGGCTTTGACTTGCCTTATGAGCAGAACCAGGAAACAGGACCAAGGTGAGGAGAGAGGGCTTGGGGAACTGGTCACCAGCAGGAGGGAGTGATGGCTCCTGGGGCTGCCTGCCCTGCCCCCCCTTCTGCTACGACTCAGCCCCAGGGAGGGGGAGGTACTGGGGGGGAGGGTACTCCTGTCCCTTTAAAACCTAGCTCTTACCACAGTGCTCAGCAGAGATAGGATGGCATTTAAAACAATAATAATTTTACCTTCTACATGTATTAACCACAGAAAAATATTTTTGAATTGTACTAAATGTTAAAGGAGAACAAAAAGGAAATAAACAAAGAAACGCCAGAAGTGTAAAAACCAGTCTGGTTTCAAAAGCCGAGTTTCTGATCCTGAGATAACTCGACACCAGCCCCCAAACACAGCCACCACCTCAAAGGCTCTCTGCCCAGCTTCCTGCCCACCCAGCCCCCGGCCTGTCTCCAGCAGCTGGTGTCCAGGCTACTTCCTGCCCCTCTCCAGGAACTCTGGATCCTTTCTTTGGCTAAGGCCAAAAGAGATCTTCGTAAACCCTTGGACTTTTTGAATTTTCCAGACCTCCTAGTCCTGCCTCTTAATTCTAATTTACCTCCTTGGCAGCTGATTGGCAGACCTAAGATGATTGACACAACCACTGTCCAATGAATTCACTCTCCTGGGCCTTCCCTGCAAGGAGGGATTCTGCTGGAAGGTGGAGTTGTATATGTCATCGACTGCACAAAGATGCCAAGCGGGGAGGTGGGCTGATACCAGCCCTTGCAGAGCTCCTCGGCTTCTGTGGCGCTTTCTCTTTTGTTTCTAATTTGTCTGTTCTGAGGGGTGCCTTCCTCTTCCTTGCACAAAGGCACTATATAGGCCAGCAGTGGCCTGCAGCCTACAACTCAGCATACCTATTCCAGGCTTGTCAGCAATACAATACCAACGCCACGCAGAACGCCCTGCGTTTTCTCTGGCGGATGGTCACTACCTGTCTGCTAGAATAAATGAACTTTCTCGTTTCCTTTGCCAGGACCATGATGCTTATGTGCAGAATACTTTGTGTTTGTCCCAAGGGCCCATGGACCTCTCTCACGCGGCACCAGTGCCGGGTGCTTGTAGAACATGGTGGAGTCCATGGCAGGAAAAGAAGCCAGAGGGAGATGGGAGGACAGTCTCAGTGGTTATGATGCAGGGAAGCCGGGGCATCTTCCTCACCCACCCCAGCAAAGGCCTCCTGGGACCCTTCTCTGCTCTTGGCTGTGGCTCTCTTCAGAGGGGCTTCCTCCTTCCGGTCCCTCGTGTGGCAGAGCCTCCAGGGACTGGGTTCCTTCTGGGACACTCAGGCTCCAGGCTCTGCCTTGCCATAAGTCTCTGGGACCTTGGAGAACTTGCTCCCCTCCGTAGACCTCAGTGTTCTTGTTTGCTAAATGGGGGCAGTGACACTCTCTCCCTGAGTTATGTCAGAAGCACACTTGCTGAGGGTGGCAGCATCCACGCTGGCCCCGGGCACCGTGGAGATGTTAAGTTAAATATGGTT